TGACTTCATTTCTAGACACCTTGTCCTTGGGTACCTTTCTGGGACCCCTTGTTCCCCACACTGTGCCTCTGGATCTAGAGGAGTCCCAGACAGTGAGAGTGGCCCTCAGTGATCTCCAGGGCACAGCCAATGTCTGGGATGTCCCAGAGGGTTGTGTGCTGTTCCCTGCCCCTGGGATCTGGGGAAACACGGACTCCAGGAGGGCAGGTTGTGTCCCATTAACTGAAGGGGCATTGCACTGAGAGGTTCTCTTCTTGGGGGCCCTGGTCAAGCACAGGGGCCAGTCTGACAGCAGGGATGGAAGGAATGTGGGCTGTTGGTATCCTTTGGTCAACCCAGACAGTGGGTTTGGGAGGTGCCTGTGGCAGACAATGGGCAATGGAAGCTGCTCAAGGGCATGGGTCTGTTTGGGGGACACTGGGAAGGGGAGGAGTGGGAGCCCCATGCAGGGCTGGGGGCTGTGTGGGGGTGGGCATGGGTGGGGGCAGGGGTCCGCTGGGGTGGGAGGAGGTGGTGAGGGCTGTGGGGCAGCAAATGGCCCAGGAGGGCTAGAGCTGGGTACCCCCAGCCCAGTGTAGCCCATGGGGAGAGGAGGAACCCCCTGCCCCTGAGACCTATGGGGACAGGGATCCCACCCTGGGAACTGGGAGTCTGCCTGGGGAGGGGGTCCTCACGGACACACAATGTGGGGCTCAAAACTCTCCTGACCCTTCCTGTGTTGGTGTTTGAAGGGGCTGCGGAGGTGAGGCTGGCGGATGGCGGCAGTCGCTGTGCTGGGAGAGTGGAGGTGAAACATCAGGGCCAGTGGGGGACCGTGTGCAGTTACCGCTGGGACAAGTCCGATGCTGCAGTGGTTTGTAGGCAGCTGGGCTGTGGGGTTCTCTCGAAGCTCCTGTAATGCACACTTTGGGCCAGGATCTGGGCCCATTTGGATGGATGTTGTTCAGTGTAATGGCAAGGAGTCTGCCCTGTCTGACTGCACACACAACGGATGGGGTCAAGCATACTGCTATCACTGGGATGCTGGAGTGACATGCTCAGGTAAGGACTGAACTTGTTCCCTACCTCTGGGACGAGGACACTTCTAAGGACCTGGCTGTGACCTCAGGAAGCAACAAGTGGACACCAGAACATGGCTCTGTGTGTCAAGTTGCACTCTGAGCTGGGTCTGCTGGTGTCCCTTGTCCCTGGGAAAGCCCAGTGGGAGCACACTGAGCCTGGCCCTGAAGCTGGAGCAGCCAAGCCTGGGGAGGTGCCTGGGGCTGGGAGAGGAAAGCCCCCACCCTTCCCCACTGTGCTGCCTGGTTCCCATCTTTCTCCTCCATTCACCCAGGCCCTGTCTGGCAGGCTGGTCCCTATGCCAGGGGAATCTAGAGCAGCTCCCCCAGCCACCAGCAGCCTCAGGGAAGGGCGTGCAATGGCCCAGGACTTTTGGGTTGTACCCCCAGCAGCCAAGAGAACCTTGGCCAAAGCAGAGGGGCTGCTCAGAGGGCAGGAGCACTGGGCTTGAGCAGAGGAACATGGTGGCAAGTGGCACCTTGTTCCTGTCCCGGGGTCACCCATGAAGCCAGCCCCGGAGACATGGCCCTCCAGGCTCTGCTGACCCACTGCTCAGCCTCTCCTGCCTGCCCTGTGCCCCAGGGGCTGTGCCAGCACCTCCTGGCTCTCCTCTCTGCCTGCCCTCACACTGGGAGCTCGTGTCAAACCAGGGCTGCTCTCTGCCTGCTTTCCTGACCCATGCATGGTAGGTGGCTGGGGACGTGCATGCCCAGCACCACACTGTCCCTGCCGGAGGACCCCCCTTTGCGGAGGATCCCCCGATGTGCCCCATGTAACAGCAGCTCCCCAAGAGCCCCAGCATTCCCTGGAAACAGGGGGGCTTTTTGGCAGATCCAAGGATTTCTTCTAACTGGCCTGAGCCTTGTGGGGCAGAGCAGGCTGAAGTAGCCCAGTTCCTGGGCCTGTTTCCCGGCCCACGTGCTGCGGGTGCTGCAGTGCTGGGTCTGGGGCCGGGCAGCCCAGGGGCTCCGGGCAGCAGCAGTTTGAGCGTGTCTGCAGCTGGGGGCTTGGAAGAGGACATGGGTGCTGGGCTGGTTCTGAGGAGCAGCAGGGGGCCCTGACATCTTTGTGCCATCAGCACCCACTGAGAGCTGCTGGGCTGGCCATGTGGCCACCTCAGGGCTGAGGTGGGAGGTGGGCATGGAAGTGCCAGAGGGCTCTGGGAACTCACAGGTCTCCTTGGTTGCTCCAGGATTTGTCCTGGTCGGAGGGGACAGCCCCTGCTCAGGAAGTGTGGAGGTCTACGACAGGGACCAGTGGAAAGCTGTCTGTCACTCCCACTTTGGTGCCAAAGCTGCCGAGGTGGTGTGCAGGGAGCTGCAGTGTGGCACAGCCCTGTCTGTCCATGGGGCAGCTCAGCTGGGAGAAGGGGCCGGTCCTGTCTGGGACAGAGAGCTGCAGTGTGTGGGGAATGAATCCGTCCTCTCCTTCTGCCCCACGGGGCCCCAAGGACAGCCTGCACCCACAGCAATGGCACTCATGTCACCTGCACACGTAAGGACTTGGGGTGGGATGGTGCCCATGGGGCTGTGGTGGGGCATGAGAGCAGGGTGGGCTGGGCTGTGCTGGGGGGGACAGGTGGGGTGAGGTGGTGGTCTGCAGCCCTAAAATTAGAGTGCTGCAGGAGGAGAAAGGCACGCTGTCCCTTTGGCCTCTCCTGCAGCTCCTGTGGGAACAAGAGCACAAATGTGGCCTCTCTCACCCTCCTTTGTCCTTGAGTACACAGGGTTCAGGCTGGTGAATGGCAGCACAGCGTGTGAGGGCAGGGTGGAGGGGGTGGGGACGTGGGGGACCCTCTGTGCCTCCCGCTGGGACCTCTCGGACGCCCACGTTCTCTGTCGGCACCTCGGCTGTGGCTTTGCTGAGTCCATTCCTGGAGGAGGGCATTTTGGGAGAGGAACCGGCCCCGTCTGGAGAGACTCGTTCCACTGTGACGGGACTGAAGCCCACCTGGGGCAGTGCCCGGTGACTGCCCTGGGGGCCTCGCCGTGCTCCCAGGAGAACGCTGCTGCTGTCATTTGCTCAGGTGAGTGCTGGGCAGTGCTGCAAAGTCCATTTGCCCTTCTTTGTGACACGGCCACCCACTGCTGGGGACCCCATGCAGTGCCTCGCTGAATTTCTGCTCTCACCAGGCCAGGCTCGCAACATGTCTGTGCGGTTGGTGGGCGGAGGGAGCCGGTGTGACGGGCGCGTGGAGGTCTTCCAGCACGGGACGTGGGGCAGAGTCCTGGATGAGCAGTGGGACATGCAGGAGGCCAGCGTGGTGTGCCGGCAGCTGCAGTGCGGAGAGGCAGAGGCAGCCTACACCCCCGTGAGGGCCGAGCGAGGACGAGGACCTGTGGGGCTGCGTGGGGTGCAGTGTGCAGGGCACGAGGCTGACCTGAGCCTCTGCAACACCTCCCTGCCCGAGAGCACAACAGCAAGGATCGCGGAGGACGTGGGGGTCGTGCTGGGGTAGTGGTGCTGCACGTCCCTCAGGTGCTGGTCCGGGAGGGCAGCCAGCCCCTGAGCATCGGGGTTCTCCCCACTGCAGGGAGCCGGCGGGTCCGGCTGGTGGACAGGGCTGGGCGCTGTGCCGGGAGAGTGGAGATCTACTACCAGGGGCGCTGGGGCACCGTCTGTGACGACGCCTGGGACCTGGCCGACGCCGCCGTCGTTTGCCGCCAGCTGGGCTGTGGAGGGGCCCTGGAGGCAGCCGGCTCTGCTCGGTTTGGGGAGGGCTCCGGGCAGATCTGGCTGGATGGCGTCAGCTGCTCCGGGGCTGAAGCTGCTCTCTGGGACTGCCCTGCCGAGGCCTGGGGGCAGCACGACTGCAGGCACAAAGAGGATGCGGGAGTCATCTGCTCAGGTCTGTGCTGGGAGTGGGGCTGGGAGCTGGGGCCTCAGAGACTAGGGTGAGGGCAGAGCTGGGAAAGGCCGATGACATCCCTGCTGCCTTGGGTCCCCTGCCCAAGCCCATCCTGGGGAAATCCTCACACAGAGCATTGGGAGCCCATCCACCCTGACAGTGAGTGGGGAGGGCAATGGAGTATGTCAGAGACCTCTCTGCCCCCAGATGCAAAATAGATTTGTGGCTGTGCCTCCGAATTCCTGAGCACCTGGGGTGCAGAGGAGCCTCTTTTCCACCAGCCCCAGACCAGCCTGTTCCTCCTGGGGCCTTCCTCCTTCCAGAGTTCATGGCCCTGAGGCTGGAGAACAGCGACGGCTGCTCCGGGCGCCTGCAGGTTTTCTACAATGGGACGTGGGGCAGCGTTTGCTCCAACTCCATGACCACCGAGACGGTGTCACTGGTGTGCAAGGAGCTGGGATGCGGGAATGAAGGGGAACTGGAAACAGATTCTAACTATGCCAAGCTGTCTGGTACTGCATGGCTGGATCACGTGGAGTGTGGGAAGAGCAGCAAGCTCCTTCTGGCAGTGTCCCTCTGCTCCCCTGGAATCCGCAGTCTTGTGATGACCTCCGAGAAGAGACCCACATCACCTGCAATGGTAAATCTGAGCCATCAAGGCACCAGGTCCTGTTCCCCGCAGGATATGGTGAAATGCAGAGAAGGAACCCAGAGAAGCTTTGGCTTTCTGCATTAGACCTTGTAGCTGCTGGAGGAACAAAGGTGACTTCAGCTTTTAAAACTACCCATGCCCACCATCAGTACCTGGTCAGGCTGCCATCAGTCACTGGGGGAGGCAGAGGCATCTCCAGGCGGGGTCTCAGAGAAGACCAGTCAGGAGGAGGGGGCTACATGCTGGGCTGTGAGAGTCCCAGGAATATGTGGAAGCTGGGGGAAGTCTGTGATGTACCCATCAGGGTGGAATCCGCCCCATCACCCAGCCCTGACGTCCCCAGCCTCCACTGCCTTGTGTGGTCGGGAGTGGCATGTCCTGCCCCCGAATTCTGTCTGATGCTGCCCCTGCCATGTTCCTGCCCATGCAGATCCCCCACGGGGCCGTCTGACCACCAGCGGTGAGAGACTCTCGGTGCCTGTCGTCATCTGCATCATCCTGGGGGCCCTCCTCTGCCTGCTCCTGGCCCTCCTGGCTGGGCAGGTGCGAAACGCCAGGGCTCAGCGCAGAGGTGGGCCCTTCCCCAGTGGTCCTGGGGGGAGATGCCTCCAGGCAGGGCTGGGGGTTTTGGTGTCTGGGGCACAGAAACAGAGCCGTGTGCTGCCTCCGGCCCCATGTGCTGCCCCACTGACTGACAGACCATGGGGCACCAACATCAAGGGGTGGAGAGAGCCCAGAGCCTGAGGCATCAGTTCTGGGGTGAGGAGAGAAATGTGAGATCTGGGCTGGGTGAGTCAGGGAGGATGCACTGCTGGCAGTGCTCTGGGCCGCACTGGCAGGAGGAGCATGGGGCAGCAGAGTCCATCACCTTTGTGTCAGCCACCCCCCAACAGGGCACGGGCTGTGCTATTGATGTGTGGGGAAGAGATGGAGCAGCTCCATGGGGAAGGGAAATGAGGGAACTGGTGCAGGGTCTGCAATGGGACGTGACCAGGGACCAAAGGGGCACAAGGGCTGTCTCCAAAGGGATGGTGTGAGGCTGACTCTGTCCCAGACCATCTCCATGGGGATGCTGCCCTCCCTGGGGATGTGGCCTCAGTGCCAACACAACACAGTGGGGCTGTGCTGTGGGGACAGCCCTGTGCTGGCCTAGGGAATGGGGTGAGGGAGCCCAGTGGGGTCCTGTCCCTCTCTGGCAACCCCAGACCAGCCCTGCCTCTGTCCCCAGGCTCTGGGAGAGCTGGGGAGCCCTTCCCTGAGGCCGTGTACGAGGAGATCACTTACAGCCTGGCGTGGGAGAAGCGGCCGAGGTTCAGTCTCTCAGGTGGGTGCAGGTAACCTGCGGGGGCACATCTGCTGTGTCCATTCTCCCTGTCTCATACCAGGGCTGTGCCCTGCAGCTCCTGCCCATGGTCCCTGAAATGGTTGGACCATGGGTCTGTGGGAGAGCATCCAGGTGTTGGCCCCCACGGAGGAGCTTCCTCCACACCAGCTCTGCCCATCCCAGAGGGGACAGCCCCTCTCTGCTTCTCCCTGAACCAAGGACTAAGTGAAGGGCTTTCCCAGGGCATCTGTTGGAGTTCCTCTGAGAATTGTCTCTTTCCAAGGAACTGGTCTCCTCCCCATGCACCCCCAGCTCTGTGGGTGCCCATCCCCAGCAGTGCTGACCACCAGTCAGGCAGCAGGGCTCATCCCACAGCACCCACTGCAGCTCTCTGCAGCCTCCTTTTCAGAGGGGTCCCTGACCCAGCTGCAGCCCTACCCCAGGCACAGAGAGGAGGAGGATGGTCTGGGGCCAGACCCAAGGATCAGAGGTGGGGGGGGGAAGAAATGTCTCCATTTCTCCTCCTGCAGACAGACCAGACTGACAGCAGTGCCACCGAGTGTTATCATCAGAGCTGGAAGCATGAAGGCTCTGCTGTGACCCTGACACCAGCAGCATGTCAGCCCTGTGTCCCCACACACCCTCCCATCCTCTGCTCTGCAGGACATCTCTTCTCATTGCCACCACCTTCCCTCTCCTTTCAGATGTCCCTGTCCTGCCCGGAGGTTACCCAGCAGATGGCTATGATGATGCTGGGGAGGTTTCTGACCCTGGGGAGGATCCTGTCCCTGGGCAGGGGACTGGGAAGTGCCCAGGACACCAGAGGAAGGAGATGGGCTGAGGCATGCAGCCACAGGTGAGAGGACAATGCAACACTGCCACTTCCTAGATGCCAACCCCAGGCCTAGGAGAATCCATGCCATATTGAAAGCCTGACCAGCTCCACATGGAGTACCTGTCCTGGGGTATTTTGTGGGGGCTGGGAGAATGGGCCGAGTGTCTCAGGCTGGTGAGAATGAGGAAGGTGATATACAGCCCGAGGGGCACCCCACAGGCCCAACCACAGCAGCCTGCCTTGATGCTTACAGGGGGAAGCCTGCACTCCTGGAGAAGTGCTGGGGTCCCTGGAGCTGATGGAGACACCTCGTCACCTTTCCTGGGGAGCACGGGCTATGACGATGTTGAAGAGGTGTCTCTGGCATATCCCCATGAGGACACCAGGATGTGACACCAGAGCCCCATGCACAAGAGTTCCAGAGCCCCAGGCCAGCAGAGCCCAGCCCTGCTGAGCAGCTGGGTGCAGCCGGGAGGAAGGAGAGCTCAGTGCCCCTGGGAGAGCCGTGAGTGCCAGGGAATGGTCTCCCTTTTCCAGCAGTCAGCAGACACACATGGGTATTTCCCTCTTGGTATTCCCCTATTTTTATGCTGTGTGTTTGTATTTCCTCATATTAAAACCCTCTGGGGGCTTTGCCCCAGATCCAGTGCTTCCCTGCCCAGGTATCAGGGTGTCTCCCTGAGGTGGATGGAGGGGAGAAGAGCTCAAATATTCAGCAGTTTGGAAGGAGCTCATCTTAGAGCCAGCAGGATTGGGGTCTGGCTTTGGGGCTGACAGAGCCCCTGGTCCCTGGACACTATTCCTACTGACAGAGACATTTCCATCCTGCCAGGCACAGGCAGTTTCCAGACAAAGTGGATCTCTGGGAAGCCCCAGGAGACACTCCCTTGCAGTGCCCACCCTCTGCTGCCTTGGGCCCAGACGGAGATACCTCAGCTGCAAGAGCTGAACAGGGAGATGTCTTGGACCCTTGGGCAGGACTTGGCACCAGCTCCTGCTGGTGGGTCCCCACAGCCCTCCAGCTCTTCCCCAGCAGGCTCCTCTGCTGCAGGCTGCGAGGTGCTTTTGGTAGTGGGATGGTGGGCTGGAACACCTATTGGAGCATCTATTTAACCCCTTTGGGTCATCTCTCCTGGCTGTGTATAGTCTCCTTTGGGTGAAGAACTGGCTGGAGGGCCATGCCCAGTGGGTTGTGGTTAATGGAGTTAAGTCCAGTTGGCGTCCCGTTACAAGTGGCATCGCCCAGGGGTTGGTACTGGGGCCTATCTTGTTTAATACCGTTATTAATGACCTAGATGAGGGGATTGAGTGTACCCTCAGTAAGTTTGCAGACGATGGCCTGAGCAGCCATTCCTGCAGCCTCTGCCCATGCTATCCACAGCCCCCCCAGCTGGTGGTGCTGCTCTGTAGAGCAAGGGGGCTGTGGTGAGTGGAGCCGTGGGGGCACTCTGCAGGGCCGTGTTGGTCAGGCTGGGGAGGCAGAGCCAGCTGGTGGGGGGCACTGGCACTGACTGCCTCCCACACAAGTGGTTCCTTGGCCATGGATAGCTGGCACAGATAGGCGGCCTTCTTCAGAGTCAGAGACTCATGGAATACTCCGAGCTGGAAGGGACCCACAAGGGTGACCCACTTCCCATGTCAGATGATGCACAAGTGACCCACTTCCAACCCAGTCAGGATATGTTTTGGGGTGATTCACTGTATTAAATCCATGAAATTTCACCAGAGGTGTAACAAATAACTCAGCAGAGAGCTTTCCCTATGCCTGCTGTGTCCCTGGAGTTGCAGAGCTCTCCTTTGCCTGTTCAAACCCAGATTCAGCACCTCAGGGTGGCTCCACCTGGGATGTGCCCATGCTCTATGGGCTCCATGTGCTACTGACTCCCTGGCACACACTGTCACTGCCGAGCGCTTGGGCTCTCCAGGAAGCTCCCGCTTTCCTCCAGAAAGAAGCCTGCCTGCCATCATCCCTCTCACCTATTGTGTACAGAGGCAGGTGAATTCACTGTCTCTGTGGGTGCTGTCCAAGAACAGGGAACAATCACAGGTGCAGCCTGGCAATGCTGCACCCTGGCAGTGCTGCTGTGGCAGGACCCTTCTTCCCTCCACCTCTGCAATCTGCCACGTGCCCCTGAAGCTCCACCACAGGTCTACAAGAAAGGGTATCAGGCAAGTAAGTCAATGCATGGTCCTTTCTTTTATTAAAATACACAGAAAGCCTGACCCACAATTTTTACAAAGACTTGGAGTCACGTGAGACAGGTACATACAGTGTAGGAAGGTATGAACAATGATATTTCTTTGTGGGAAACACTATGAGAGATGAGGAAAAGGCGGAGGTGCTCAATGCCTTCTTTGCCTCAGTCTTTAGCGGCAATACCGGTTGTTCTCTGGATATCCAGTACCCTGAGCTGTTGGAAGGGGATGGGGAGCAGGATGTGGCCCTCACCATCCACGAAGAACTGGTTGGTGACCTGCTACGGCACTTGGATGTGCACAAATTGATGGGGCCGGATGGGATCCACCCAAGGGTACTGAGAGAACTGGCAGAGGAGCTGGCCAAGCCACTATCCATCATTTATCAGCAGTCCTGGCTATCGGGGGAGGTCCCAGCTGACTGGCGGCTAGCAAATGTGACCCCCATCTACAAGAAAGGCCAGAGGGCAGACCCAGGAAACTACAGGCCTGTCAGTTTGACCTCAGTGCCAGGGAAGCTCATGGAGCAGATCCTCTTGAGAGTCATCATGTGGCACTTGCAGGGCAAGCAGGCGATCAGGCCCAGTCAGCATGGGTTTATGAAAGGCAGATCCTGCTTGACGAACCTGATCTCCTTCTATGACAAAGTGACACACTGGGTGGATGAGGGAAAGGCTGTGGATGTGGTCTACCTTGACTTCAGTAAGGCATTTGACACCGTCTCCCACAGCATTCTCCTCAAGAAACTGGCTGCTCTTGACTTGGACTGGCACACACTTCGTTGGGTTAGAAACTGGCTGGATAGCTGGGCCCAAAAAGTCGTGGTAAATGGAGTCAAGTCCAGTTGGAGGCCAGTCACTAGTGGCATTCCCGAGGGCTCGGTGCGGGGTCCGGTCCTCTTTAATATCTTCATCAATGGTCTGGACGAGTGCATTGAGTGCACCCTCAGTAAGTTTGCAGATGACACCAAGCTATGTGCATGTGTCGATCTGCTCGAGGGTAGGAAAGCTCTCCAGGACGATCTGGATAGGCTGCACCGATGGGCTGAGGTCAACTGTATGAAGTTCAACAAGGCCAAGTGCCGGGTCCTGCACCTGGGGCGCAATAACCCCAAGCAGAGCTACAGGCTGGGAGATGAGTGGTTGGAGAGCTGCCAGGCAGAGAAGGACCTGGGAGTGATGGTTGATAGTCGGCTGAATATGAGCCAGCAGTGTGCTCAGGTGGCCAAGAAGGCCAACGGCATCCTGGCTTGTATCAGAAACAGTGTGACTAGCAGGGCTAGGGAGGTGATCGTCCCCCTGTACTCGGCTCTGGTGAGGCCGCACCTCGAGTACTGTGTTCAGTTTTGGGCCCCTCGCTACAAGAAGGACATCGAGGTGCTTGAGAGGGTCCAGAGAAGGGTGACGAAGCTGGTGAGGGGCCTGGAGAACAAGTCCTACGAGGAGCGGCTGAGGGAGCTGGGCTTGTTCAGCCTGGAGAAGAGGAGGCTCAGGGGTGACCTTATTGCTCTTTACAGATACCTTAAAGGAGGCTGTAGCGAGGTGGGGGTTGGCCTGTTGTCCCATGTGCCTGGTGACAGGACGAGGGGGAATGGGCTTAAGTCGCACCAGAGGAGTTTTAGGTTAGATGTTAGGAAGAACTTCTTTACTGAAAGTGTTGTTAGACACTGGAACAGGCTGCCCAGGGAAGTGGTGGAGTCACCATCCCTGGAAGTCTTTAAGAGACGTTTAGATGTAGAGCTTAGGGATATTGTTTAGTGGGGACTGTTAGTGTTAGGTCAGAGGTTGGACTCGATGATCTTGAGGTCTCTTCCAACCTAGAAATTCTGTGATTCTGTGATTCTGTAAAGCAAAGTAAAAAGAAAAAAAATAGAAACAAATAGAAAGATTTCTGGGTATGTATACAGTTAACATTAAGAACACAGACAGTTTATTCCTTCTGGAAAACCTCCAGTCATCACTTTCCATACTACATCCTTGAGCTCCTGATTCCTCATGCTCTAGATGAGGGGGTTCACTGCTGGAGGCACCACCGAGTACAGAACTGCCAGCAAAAGATTAAGGGAGGAGGAGGACATAGAGGGGGGCTTCAGGTAGGCAAAGAAGGCAGTGCTGAGAAACAGGGAGACCACAGCCAGGTGAGGGAGGCATGTGGAAAAGGCTTTGTGTCATCCTTTTTGTCATTCCCCTTTAAGGGGGCTTAGCTGCCTCCCTGTGCCTCACAGAATCCCACAGGAGTTGGGATTCCTCTTGCCTCGGTTCAGGTGGGTACAAACCAGGCAGCATGTAAGCTGCTTGTCTCAGCTTTGAGCACTTTGAATAGAGAAAGAGGCCAAAAGGGAGCTGTTCAGAGGCAGACACCAGGTGATATTGGAGATGGCAGAGTGACATCTGAGTGACATTTGATGTGCCTAATTCCTCTGGGCTATAAACAGAGATTTTATTATTGCATGTACAATATAATATAACTGTAGCCATTGCTCAATAGCAAAGGAATAAAAGAAATAAAAGGCATGCTGTGACCTGGTTGCCATCACTGGAACGTGGTGGGACCACTCCCATGACTGGAATGCTGCAATGACTGGTTATGAGCTCTTCAGAAGAGACAGACAGAACAGAAGGGGTGGTGATGTGGCTCTCTATATTAGGGAGTGTTTTGATGTTGCAGAACTTCAATCTGGGAATGATAATGTTGAGTACCTGTGCGTTAGGGTCAGCGGGAAGGCCAACAAGGCAGGCATCGTGGTGGGGATATCTTATTGACCGCCT